ATAGTGTCCTGATACAGTTGTGTAAGTTTCAGCATTGTTCTATGTCCAGGCATCATGGGTCAATGCAATGGTCTTGTTAGATTTCAACTCATCCTTCAATAAAATTAAATAAATGGACAACTCTCCCTTCAATTCTATGTTATAGGCTACAACCCAAAAATGCAGTTGTGTTTTTCTGCATGTGACAGTGTATGAAGGTTGCGGAGTGTTCATGAAGTCTCTAAATGACACAGTTGCCAACTCCCGATTTAAATCGGGAGATTCCTGTTTCTTTAACCCATCTCCTGCGCAATTTTGCCATCTCCCGATTTTCTAATTTTGTAATTTTTCATCATCTCCCGATTTTTTCTCCCGATTTCTACAAAAAACTTCATATGTTTTAGGTAAAAATCCCCCGATTTTGTCTGTGTCCTCCCGTTTTTTCATTGAATCCGAGTACTCATCGATCGTCTCCAGTACCTTACATATAAGTCAATTAACTCCAGCGACATCAAATCATGAAAAACAAAGTTAATCTAATATAAATGTCCAATCAACAACAAGGAAATTAGTGCATGCGCAACAATTTTAATCAGTAAGAGCGAATCCATCCTTTATTACGATCCTAGCGCATGCGTATTACGTAGATAATCTCCTGAGTGGAGGCGATGAGAATCTGCGCAAGTATGTCCGTGAAACGGGGTAAGAATAATTTTGTCTATTTATGCACAATTGCGTAAGCCTACCAAGATTAACCCTTAAATGGGTTTTCGTTTTTTACACCCTCTAAAGGTTTTTGGGGTCCGTTTGGACCCCAATGTTTTGCAATTACTTTGCAACCAGAGAAGCTTTTTCCATTCAGACTTCAGTTTTACATAGGTTAATCTATTACCTTTCAGAATATGTATGCATTATTTCTCATGAATGCATGGAAATATGTGTAAACCTAATCATAAGGAGTCAGGTGTTTTAGCACTTTGTAACATTTCGTAGCATTTATATATAACACGACTGTATTAATTGAATATGTTTCAGTGATAGTGATGTTCTTTGGCCTCAGGTAGCACAAAAAGTCATAATGCGATTTATATCTGGTTTGTTTTATCTGAAAGGAATTGAATTAATTGAGGATTAGATGGAATTTCATGCTGATAGATTGATTATTTCTGATATAATTATTGCAAAGACCCCAAAAACCATTTAAGGGTTAAGCATGTATATACATTAAGAGAAATCATGTTAAATAAGTTTACCATTGAAGTTTGTCAAAATTTGAGATTTATCAGTCACATTTACGGTAAGCTTTTTGGTTTTTCCATCCTGGACCAAGGAGGATTGGCTCCCAGGATGCAACATCATTACCGATACTCCCTATGTCGTGACTACAAAATTCGAATTCAAACTGCATTTTTGTTTGGTATCTTTACCAAGAGAAACTTCCTGTTTTATAAAGAAGTCTCCTGTTTTCTCCTGTTTTTAAAGAAAATATCCTGTTTTCTCTTGTTTTTAAGGAAAATATCCTGTTTTCTCCTGTTTTAAAAGAAAATACCCTGTTTTCTCCTGTTTTTAAAGATAATCTGTTTTCTCATGCTTTTAAAATAAATTGTTTTCTCCTGTTTTTAAAGAAAATCTCCTGTTTAGACTGAAAATCTCCTGTTTTCTCCTGTTTTTTAGATGGTAACTTGTTTTCTAAAAGAAAACCTTCTGTTTTCTCCTGTTTTTTAGATGGTAACTTGTTTTCTAAAAGAAAACCTTCTGTTTTCTCCTGTTTTTAAAAGAAGTCTCCTGTTTTCTCCTGTTTTTTAAAGAAAATCTCCTGTTTAGACTGAAAGTCTCTTGTTTTCTCCTGTTTTTTAGATGGTAACTTGTTTTCTAAAAGAAACCTCCTGTTTTCTCCTGTTTTTTAAAAGAAGTCTCCTGTTTTCTCCTGTTTTTGATGACTCAAGCATTGATATGGCCTTTAGGTCCTTCACAGTGTATCTTGTATGAGATTTTGTCATTTTCATGTACCTACAATAAGATATATTTCAAGGTAAATAAAAGAAATAAATAATAGAAATATATATTTGCCAAATTAAATCTCCGCTAATTTTCCAATTTTGCCCAATTCGCCATCTTAAATCATGGCAAATCAAGCTGACTAACAGTATAATATCTCACTATTTTTTTTTCAACTTATTTCATACATACTCAAAATATAATTTCAACATACATTTCTCTGAAAAAAATACAATTCAGTTTTGCAATATACTTAGCTTGTTGATTTCCTGCCAAATTGAACGATTCGACATGAAATTTATTTTTCAGTGTTATAATTCGATTTAGTACACTATGAGTAAGAGTGTAGGATAATAAGAATATCCTATGATTTTTCAGAATATCGTATTAAGATAAGGGTGGACAAAACTTTTTTCCAGCTGTACCTTAATCTACTTGGTGATATTAATATGTGCACTTGTTCGCTTTGCTCTCTTGTGCATACTGTACGCCCAGTATTTTTCATGTGCCATTTAGTTTCGCGCTTTTCGCGATTGTGGTGAAATCACAAAAAATTATCGTCGCGAACATGCCAATTAAATCCCCAGGAATTTGATATTACCTGGGGCTCTGATGCATTTCGTTTTGAGTAAAACATTTCGTCTTGTGTAGATAATTGAGTTATCCACAATATTTCTAGTATGTCGATTTTACATTGGCTTATCAGGCCTACTAATATATAGGCCTAATGACATTGACGATGTTATAAAGTGCAAAGTGCAAAAAATAACAAGAAGTGCAATCTCATTCAAATATGACATCAGGTAAGTGAAATTACTGTACATCTAACTTAGTTTACATAACTAGTAGCTCAAGAATTACGAGAATAATGAATTTCAAACTTGTTAAATTCGTGAAATTTAATTGGCACGAAATTTTGTTTTATCAAAATTCACAAAATTAACTGGGCGTACAGTATACTGGTATATCGATATCACCTCGTATATTAAAATGATATTCCTCAAAATCATAGGATATCCTATACATACTAGACCCTCGTGAGAAAGTGAAGTTAAGTAGTGGGAGGGGCATAGAGCTAGACTATATATTTTTTCAAATACTATTCATATTCCAAATTTAAAATCACTAGTACAGTTGTGCATATTGTTCATCTTGATTCAGTCTTTAAAATGAGGTACCTAGTTTGAATAAAGTGTGGGATTAAAATAATGTCATAAGATTAGCCAAGAAATGTTTGTAATTCCATCAAATGAATTCCATGATCGATAATTAGTCCTTGTTACAGCTTAAAAAATGCAAGCAGTTGACTTCGAAATAAAAGAGTTACTACCTGATGAGAATGGGACCCTCACAAGACTTGCAAATGGTAGTAAACACGCTCCAATGTAACCACATCAGCATATTCTTGAAAAGTTGAAAATTACCAAAACAATTTCATGCTCATTACTCTACTCATCTTCTCATGTGTACAAAAATAAGCTGATGTGGTTACATTGGACCGTGTTTACTACAATGTAGAAGGCACGTGAGGGTCCAATTCATCAGGTAACTCTTTTATTTCGAAGGCAACTGCTTGCCTTTTTTAAGCTGTAACAAGGCAGGGAGATCAGCCAGATTCATCAGTCTAGACGTAAAGTAGCTAGTGTTATTATATTTCTCTTGTAGATTTTATACTGTCCTAAGGCACTACGTCTACTGATGAATCAAGGAGTAGAACATTTCTTCTGACCCCACCCCACCCCCCCGAATCCTAATGAAGCCCCCCTTAATACTCAAAATATTGAGAAATATGATTTGTAAAGAAGGTCTTTTACAACCTGTACTAATGTTTTGATGTGCCAAGTCATCTAAGATTGACAATAATCAGAGCTACAATGAAGACAAAAGATTCGAAAAATTCACATTTTCACTTACAGTTATATTGCCCACCAAAAAAATCGGCATTTACTCGTCAACTCTCACTTCATGTACCTTGCACTAATGTTTTAATGTGCTAAGTCATCTAAGATAGACAATAATAGTGAATTCAAAACAAATTTACATTTTCACTTATTATCGCCCACCGAAACTCGCCAATATCTGATATTACTTTTCTTCAACTCTCACTTCATGCTTTGTAGGCAACAAAGAGCTAATCAAATAAACATTGTGGTACATATAAACACTCTATTAATATGTTTATTTTGGTAATATCGATTGACTGACCTCAAATCCATAGAAACGGAGAACATTTTCCAAGATTCAAAAATAGATCTAGGTTTCCTTGAAATCTTGATTAGATAGACTCGAATAAAAACGAATACTTAGTTTATTCTAACCTTTTCATCAACCCATCTCATCTTCTCCGTATTGGCAGATATCCTGGGAGTTGTTCAACTCAAAACACATTTCATAAAATAAATAGACTGGAGTAGGGCGCGAACATCTTTGCTTCACTTTCCCGTTGAATTATGGGTATTACTTGGAAGTAATGTTATCTACACATTGTAGAAGGTGGTTACAGGGTTAAATAGATCATTGCCATCAGATCTGCATTTTGGGGACACACATTCGTACTTGGGGTTCATAGCCATTCAACCAAGCAACAAAATGTATCTATGTGAATTTGATGTTCAACCCAGTAGGCATAGCAGATTTAAGAACCAAGGAGCAAAATGTGTTCATTTTTCCAAAATAATAAATGTGGATATCCAGAAAAATAAACTCCTAAATGTAAAAATCGATAGTTTCCATAAAGAATCGTGGTAAAATTTCACGATCGTGGTAAAATCACGAACATTTATCGTCGCGAAATGTGTCTTTTAAATCCCTGGGGATTTGTTAAATTAGCATTTACCCGGTACTTTGGTATATTTTATATATTTTGTTCGGTGTAAAACGTTTTGTTGGGCGATAGTGTTATTCTACTTAATTTGGCGGCCGTTTTCATTTGGCGAATTGCAAAAAATCGCCAATTCATGTCTTCGCCAATTTTTCAGAAATTCCCGGGAAATTTTCATCCAGTGTAATTTCTGTTTGGAAATATGGTGTATCATGGTTCAAGATCTGATTTATCCAATAAATTGGACCATTTTGATGTTAGAAGTCACAATAAGACAGCATCCAGTTGGTAAGTAGAGCTTATTCAATTTCACAGGTATTTAGACCTGCTATATTCGCCAAATTAAATCTCTGTCAATTTTCCGATTTTGACAATTTCCCCAAATTAAATAGCGCCAAATTAAGTAATTTACCCTGAGTATAATATTGACACAGCTGATTTTTTTCTTTGCAGCCCTGAACAGAGATCTCAAGATGCTGATCTAGAAAAGGCCAAGAAAACCCCCCGCCCCAAAGAGAGATCAGATGGGCCATTTCAGGTTGATCTAGGAACAGCCCAGGAGTTAAGGTAAGTGAAACATGAATTTAATGATTAATACAATAGAAAAACATCACCATTTTGTAATGAATTCTGAACATAAAGGGCATAATCAAATGTATATTATTATGGTACTTTTGATAACATAGGACATAATTACGAGAAAATATGATAGTATTATTTAAGCAGAATTATTTAACCACATGCCAGATATGATTGATACAAATGAATTTTTTTTCTTTGCAGCCCTGAACAGAGATCTCATGATGCTGATCTAGAAAAGGCCAAGAAAACCCCCGCCTCAAACAGAGATCAGATGGGCCATCTGAGGTTGATCTAGGAACAGCCCAGGAGTTAAGGTAAGTGAAACATGAATTTAATGATTAATACAATAGAAAAACATCACCATTTTGTTATGAATTCGGAACATAAAGGGCATAATCAAATGTATATTATTATGGTACTTTTGATAACATAGGACATAATTACGAGAAAATATGATAGTATTATTTAAGCAGAATTATTTAACCACATGCCAGATATGATTGATACAAATGAATTTTTTTTCTTTGCAGCCCTGAACAGAGATCTCAAGATGCTGATCTAAAAAAGGCCAAGAAAACCCCCCGCCCCAAAGAGAGATCAGATGGGCCATTTCAGGTTGATCTAGGAACAGCCCAGGAGTTAAGGTAAGTGAAACATGAATTTAATGATTAATACAATAGAAAAACATCACCATTTTGTAATGAATTCGGAACATAAAGGGCATAATCAAATGTATATTATTATGGTACTTTTGATAACATGGGACATAATAACGAGAAAATAATTGATAGCATTACCAGATTATTTAAGCAGAGTTATTTAACCACATGTCATATATGATTGATACAAATTAATTTTTTTCTTTGCAGCCCTGAACAGAGATCTCAAGATGCTGATCTAGGAAAGGCCAAGAAACCCCCCCCGCCCCAAACAGAGATCAGATGGGCCATCTCAGGCTGATCTAGGAACAGCCCACGAGTTAAGGTAAGTGAAACATGAATTAATGATTAATACAATAGAAAAACATCACCATTTTGTGATGAATTCTGAACATAAAGGGCACAATCAAATATATATTATTATGGTACTTTTGATAACATGGGACATAATAGTACAGTTTCCATATAGCTTTTGAAATCTCGCTAAATCTCGTTTTTCATGAGATTTTAAGAGATTTGCATATTAGACCTCTAATAACACACCTTACCTTCTTTTAAATGGTATATATTTGAATTCAGTGAAATGTTTTCTCCTATTATAGCTTTGATTTACACAGTTATATGACATTTAAAAAAAACTTGGGACAAATCTCCATTGATGCAAAATCTTTAAAACCTTGGATTATTTGTATGTCAACCAACATTTGCATGTTTAATGACAATATGTACATTAACAGGGTCATCATATCATATATCATTCAGGTTTTACGACACAGATTCAACTAACAATTTTTAATAAATCGTGAAATAAAGTCACTTTTCCAAGATTTTAATATGTAAGTGAATGGAAGTTTAGCCCAAGTTAAAAGCTGATTCAAAGATGGCAGCACTAGATTTCATTGTTTTTTCTGCGATTTAGAAACTATCCTATTACGAGAAAATATGATAGCATTATTTAAGCAGAATTATTTAACCACATGCCAGATATGATTGATACAAATGAATTGTTTTTCTTTGCAGCCCTGAACAGAGATCTCAAGATGCTGATCTAGAAGAGGCCAACGAAACCCCCTGCCCCAAACAGAGAGCGGATGCGCCATCTCAGGCTGATATAGGAGGAGCCCAGGAGTTAAAGTAAGTGAAAGATGAATTTAATGACTTTCAATAGAAAACACAACCATTTTGTAATGAAGTCATGAACACAAGAAGAAGTCATGAACACAAGAAGCTCACACGTCTCAAACTCATGACCTCATGGTTATGATGTAAGCGCCTAGCTGGGTTCGTTCTGGTGCTCTAGACCATTAAGGTACTTTTGATAACCTGGGGCAGAATTTCAAGAAAATATGATAGCAAGAATGCAAGACTCTAAATCAGACTTATTTTAACCGCATGCCAGATATGATTGACACAGCTGACTTTTTTATTTTGCAGCCCTGAACAGAGATCTCAAGATGCTGATCTAGAAAAGGCCAAGAAATCCCCCCACCCCAAACAGAGATTGGATGGGCCATCACAGGCTAATCTAGAATCAGCCCAGCAATTGAGGTAAGTGGAAGACGAATTTAATGAAGTCCAGAAAATGAAGGCCATAGCTCGTCAAAGTTGATAAAATACCCAAATTGTCAATTTTTTTGACTTGAAATGAAAAACCCCTATGTTCTTAGAAAATTAATTTCTCCATTACTAATGGCTCAATATAGTTAAAAGTAGGCTCAAAATACTGGGAACTGAATAACCTTTCCAATGGTACCTCATACACCCTCCTATGATTGTCGGTTTCCAAGATCATAGGGGGGGGGGGGGCAGATCTGCCCCCCCTAACCATTGGTGTAATTCTCGATAGCCTAACCGTTTAAGGGTTAAACCTTAGATCTCCTAGGTATGATACATAACTTTATATTACTAGAAATTGCAGGCGAAAATTATTTTTCTTTGCAGCTCCAGACAACTACCAATGGCAATAGACATGATAGACGAGTCAAGGTAAGAAAAACAGCATGAGCATTTTCTTTATGTACCTGTACTTTTGAGAGTTCAGGGGGTGTCATTACCGCAGTTCCTTGCTAGCCATGTCAGCATTGCCCATGGGTGTTTATTTGAGAGTAGCTTGACCTTTCTAACTCTAATCCTTGAAATGGTTTACCAAACATGATGGTTGGAATCATTCTTACCCTTTCCAAATACAGTAGTTTTGATATTGTCTCTTTAAAATATAGCTTAATCTAGTAAGTACAAAGCTCTGTGTCCCAGGTTATACTACAGATTATCCTGATATATAAATAATATTCTATTATTACACTTCAATTCATATTAATGGTATGCATTAGTGTTGGTATTTACAAGTTCAAACATTATAAGCATGAAGCTTCCATCAAGTGATAGCAAATCTTATTTGCAGCTCCCTGGAAGAGGCAGATGAGCCTGAAGAAGACATGAAGGTTCTTAGGAGACAAGTACGAAGTTTGCGTAAACGTGTAAGGCACTTAGAATCGTTACATGAGGATCCAGCTACCAGCCTTGCCATAGTCATCAAACACATGCCTGTTGGGAATGTTGCAGAGTGTGCAAGAATGTTATGCTTAAAGGTGTTCTCCAAAGATGAGCTAATAACCATGTCGACTAGTGGTAAAAAGGGTCCAAAGACTGTTGTAGGGGAGCAGAGACCCCCATTGGATCAAAGGAAACTTTACGAAATAGTAGACACACTGAAATCCCACTGTTTAGTAACATCAAAAGTTGCGAAAGAAAAGATCCAGAACTTTCAAAAAGTGTTGAGGGCCAAGGCTAAAGTGCAGTGAGGACAATTACCAGATAAGACAATTAACTTTTAATGTGGTTAATATCTTTTTAGTTTTTATTGTGGTTACATGGACTTCACTTTTGAAAGTTTATACATGGCAACAATAAATATTACATGTATGTTCATTGAATAATGTGTGAGTTGTTAATGAATGAGCTAAATGTTGAAGTGTTTCATAAAAAAATTCATGAATAAGGCATAAATGAATAAGCATTATGAATCTTAATTAGCCTACAATTGTCAAAAATTCACTTTTTGATTAAATGATGCATTTAAAATCACAAATATTTACTTCATGGATGGAATAATTACACTGAACTCAACTATTCACGATTTATTCATAGCATGAGTTTGATTATCATATTCATGAATTCTTCATAAATTATTCATGCATTTAGAACAGCTGGCAATTATTGAACCATTTATGAATATTTGAAGAAAACTGATTAAATTTAATTCTTCATCCATCCCTGAAGTATTCATGAATTATAATTCATCGCATTAATTAATTTTTCAATAACTAAAGTCTTGAATCATATTCTTCATTTATGCATTAAGCTTTATTCATGAATTCTTCCTGCATTATTCATGCATTTAAAAAAATCCTATGAATTATTGATGAACTATGATTAATGTTCCATTTGTATTTGACGAATAATTGATGAATATTTCAGTTTAATTAAAATTTAGAGCTCAACCATCCATGAACCATTCATGAATTATAATTCATTGTGTTAATATATATTTCAAGAATAGTATTCTTCAATTACCCATTATGTTTTATTCATAATTTTTCCTGATTCATTCATGCATTTTAACATCCTTAGAATAATTGATGAACTGTGGTGAATGTTTCAGTTGTATTTGAAGAACAATTGATGAATATTTCAGTTTAACCTTTACCATGCTGCCTTATTTCAGCAAATATATCCCACGCATCTGACTTATTTTTCAAAAATGATATGCCTGGACTAAATAATTAATATCTCAATAACTACTGAATGAATCTGGATAAAATTTTCACAGAGGGAAGATACAGTGGCCTGGCTCATGAAAAAAATGTTCTCATGAATTTTTTCGTACATTAACACGACTGGGCATAAATATACCATGAATACTCCTCCGGAATCCGCCGCTCCGACTCTTCGTCTGGTCAGAATCCAAATCTGAATTTGCAGCGATCGAATGTTCAATTTTTCAATTCAGAAAATATTCTAGTTTCTATTTTCGATGACCGTTATCGGCTTCCAAGAGCCTAAAGAGCTCGAAATCGTAATCCATTTCCTCCACATTTTCGTTGTTATCGTATTTGTCCACCATTTTGTACGATTCGTTCACTAAAAACGACTAAAACACTGTTTAAATTGTTGAATTGAGAATTATTTTTCGAAATATCGCCATTTCTAGGTCAACAGGAAGTCATGTTAGGCACTGAATAAATCGGGCAATCTAATTGGACAATACGAATGGCGCGAAAAAGTAAAGTTTTTAAAAGTTTGAAATCGGGCGTACGGGTCCGCCGGCAGTTGTGAGAGACATTTTAGTCTCGGCGGACGAGTCCGCCGGCAGCACGCTAAAGGTTAATTAAATTTAAGGGTCAACCATCCATGAACTATTCATGAATTATAATTAATTTTGTTCATAGATATTTCAAGAATGGTATTCTTCATTTATCCATTATGTTTTATTCATAATTTTTCCTGATTCATTCATGCATTTTAACATCAAATTTGTATTTGAAGAACAACTGATGAATATTTCTGCGTCTCTTTTTGTTTTCTTGAACTAAATTCTCCAACTATTCATTCAAACAATTCATCAAATATTCATATGTTGCATTCATGAATAGTTCAGGAATAGAAAAATTGATGAATATTGATGAATGTTCCATTTGTATTTGAAGAATTTTTGACGAATATATAATGAATGGTATTCATTGTTCATGTAATGAATATTCATGAACAATTCAAGAATATGCATGAATAATTCACAATAATTTCGCTGGGGGAGGCTAGAGTGACGGCACTCGAAAAAATCATAAAGTCAGAAGATGAAGAGGCCACTGCCCTCATGCAGGGGTACCCTGCTACTGATATACACGCTTGCACGGGTACCCTGCTACTAATATACACACTTGCACAAAACGATTATGTATGTTTTTTTCAATGAAGAGACACTTATGGCATGCAGTGTAACAGGAAAAAAGTCCCACAAATCTGAGGAGAGCTCCAGGCCAGCACTCGATCAAGACAGGGTGAACAAGATAATAAGTATCCTTGAAAAACACTGCAAAACAGATGGAAAGACTATCAAAGAAAAAATTGCAAATGTGCAGAAAGCACTCAGATTCAAAAACAAGACAATGTGAACTGTCTTTGACATGTTTGAACTCTTGACATTCTGTGACCTTGAAAGTTGAACTGTATTATGTGAACACTATTTGTCATGTTTGAACTCTTTTTGAATGTTTTGAACTCTTGACATATTCTGTGACCTTGAAAGTTGAAATGTATTTTACATGAAGTTGAGGCACTAAAAGTAATGAGTCCAATATATTTTCTACCTTGAATACTGTATTTCTGTTGATGACTTATTTTTATGATTATTCATTCTTGAATGTTCCTCCAAATCCCAAGCAGCATGAATATGTACAGAAGTACTGTAATTCAGTAATATATGAAGAATTTAGAAGAAAATTGAAGAATAATGGGGAGGAATTTTTGTTCAGGGATAATCTTGAATATTTCATGAGTAAAATTACCGTACAATCAAAATTCTTTTGAAGAAAAAATAAGAATATATATAACAGATTCTTTAACAATTCATGAACAAGAGCAATGCTTTGCACAAGAATAGGTGATTCATTTTCATGAATATGAACTGCATAGTACTGTACTTCAGTAATATATGAAGAATTTGGAAGAAAATTGAAGAATAATGAGGAAAAATTGTTCAAGAATAATCTTATGATATAATATTTCATGGGTAAAAGTACTGCACATTCAGTTTTTTCAAAGAAAAAATAAGAATATTTATTCTTATGAATTCTTTAACAATTCATGAACAAAAGCAATATTTTACACACAAATAGTTGATTCATTTTCTTGAACGGGTCTAATTCAGTAATACATGAAGAATTAAGCAGAATTGTTGTTCAAGAATAATCTTTAGTATTTCATGAGTAAAAGTAGAATCTTCTAAGAAAAAATAAGAATATTTATTCTGAAATATTCTTAAACAATTCATGAACAAGAGCAATATTTTACACATGAATAGGCCTATTTGATTCATTTTCATGAATTTGGCAGAAATTATTGTCCAAGAATATTCCCTGAGTAAAAGTAGTCCACTATCTAAGAATCTTCGAAGAAAAATTAAGAATATTTATCCTGACATATTCTTTAATAATTCACACAAGAATAATTGATTCATTTTTATGAATGGGAATAATTCAGTAATATATGAAGATAATTTTGAAGAAAACTGAATAATATCGAAGAATGTCAAAATTCTTGTTCAAGAATAGATTTGAATATTTCATGAGCAAAATTAGATATTTTGAAGAAAAGCGAAGAATCCATAATCTTCTTTATTCTTTAATAATTCATGAACAATATAGTGGAATAATCCAAACATATTGATGAACTAAAATTCATGAATATTCATGAATTTAAAGAAGAATTTTGAGGAACCGTCCAAATTGTTGTTCAAGGATAAATCAGAATATTTCATGAATAATATTCTTCTTTGAAGAATAGTTCATGTAATTTGTTATTGAATATTCATGAAATATTCCTAAGCAATTCACAGGGGAATCACCCAATAATTGGCTCAATCTAAGAGTGACCAAGTGGAGAAAATGGACTATTGGTGAAACATTTAACAGGTCCCTCATTGAAAAAAAATCTGTGATCCGGTATTTGTGCAATCTAATTTGTTTTTTTGTCGAATTCGCTTCTGATTTCGGAATTTACAGATCTGATATTTATTGACTACTAAACAATTAGAAGGGTTTCCTTAGGTCAAATAAGGCAATGTGAGTATGTGGAAACCTGTGTATATCCTGCCACCCCTGCAAAATAATGGACTTGCCCACTTGGTCTCTTGGATCCACTTGTATAATATATATAACCTAAACAAACTCAATCAACGAGTGGATCTTGCACAGTTGATCTTGAAGCAAAAGTTCAGCAGTTTGAATCCAATTCTGGCGTTGCATCCACACAACAGAAAGGGGGCAAGTTGCAAATAATTAGCAATCAATATGATGATTTGGTGCTGTAAAATCAGGAAACTTTTTTGCCACGGAATGCATATGTTATTGTGACGATCCTGATGTAACTTATTTATATTTATATAATTTGTCCTTACCTTGATCTTGCTTGTAATTGAGAAAATCAGTTATAATTACTTTGTACTAGTTTCATTTCTAATTTGTTTATCTGGAGGTCGCCATTTTGAAGGTCATGTGACCAGAATTAGTCTCACATATATATTTTTATTTTCTCTCTTGTAAAAGGCATTTTAAATCTTTAATTAGACATAACATATTGTGATATTATTTATCATGTATTTTGTATTTTCATGTTGTAAACTTACTAGATGTCATATTTAGACTTTAGTATATAGATTAACATTGTACACAGCCAGTGGAATTAATGGAGTAATCAGTTTGGTAAGCCAAAAAGCAGTGTTTGAAGCCCACAGGGAATGGTCTTGAAAACACAGTGGACGTAGCAAGTGAGCCAGTATGCCAACACAAGTGTTTGAGAACTGGGTGAGAATTTTTAGAGATATCTTTGGTGGTTTACTGGCTGTTTGCAGTGTTCATAATTTTGAGTGATTATTTGAGCTGATTTGATTCTTATCTTGATTTTACTTAAGTGACAAATAAAGATAGTAAGTTATTTCTGTTGGATTATTTGCGATCAGATGATGCATCAAGCTGAAAGTTTAGTATACACCAACAAAAAGGTAATGTTTCTAAAGTCAGAAGGGTCCATGACATTGGGAAATCGAAGGGATTTTCTGAAAAAGTCAAAAATAATGTGATGTGATTACATAAATATCCAGCAAGTTGTGTAGGCTTACACCATGGGACTAATCATTCCTTGGGCTGGGTTCAATTCCCAA